AGATGTTTTCCACAAAATTAGAAGTTCGTAAATGATTTACATATTTATCTATTTATTTTTTTATTTTTTACATATTTGATGGTGTGTCTCAACGAATATGTCTTATTAAGGGTATTTTTATCTCAAAATCTACTATGATGGTTAAAAATAGTTAAAATTATCTCAATGTTTATTTCTAAAAACATTTTATTTTTGAAGACTAAAAAAACAATTTTTCGAAGAAAAATGCTTTTTTAGCTTTTGCAGTTGTATATGTATAGTTTTGGCTTATTGGACCAATTATAAGGTTTCCACAAATCTACCAACAAAGGTGGGACACATACATATATCCATCATTCCACCCTGTATTATTTTCTTTCTTTCTTTCTTTCCTACCTTTATTATTTTAAGGGTAAGAAAAATAAAATATTATAAGCTGGATGATTATTTAATTCTGGTAAGTGGTGGCGGTGCAAAGGAAGCTTTTGATTGAGCCACGAAGCACAGACAAACATGGGGTCCCACATCATATGCTAAGCTTTTTGTCTGTTTGGAGTGGGAGAGAGTGCTTTCCAAAGCGTCAAAAAGTTTGAGGCCCTCCCTTCACTTAATTTCGGCTTTCTCTTTATTTTATTATTATATCTTCATGTATCAGTCTTCAGATTTGCTTTATTATCGGAATCCTAAATTGATGTTGATCTTATGATTATAATAATATACACTAAGCTAAATATAAAATCTAAGTTTGTTGCTTACCAACTTGCAAATTGGGTCGGTGTTCAATGTGCCGCCCCCTTTTTTTTTTTTTTTCCTTTAAATTTAGTTAATGAAAATGATAGAAATATCACTAATCTCATAGTAATAAATAATAAATGAAAATTTTCTTCCACTTATAAAAATGTCATTTAAGTTAAAATTATAAATTTGTAATTTTGATATTTGAGTTAATCGAAATTTTAAATGATGTGAGAACCTCTTCAAAAATATCAAAATTGAAATAGACTCCTATCAAAGTATAATTCCTTTTCTCTATGAATGTTACAGGCATATAAATTTAATAGGAGATTTGACTAATCAGAGACTGTTTTTCTTCCCTCTCATTCTTAGGGGACAATGCTGTTGTGAAAGTGGAAAAAACACAAGAAATGGTCTTCTCCACATTCGTTTTTTTCTCTCCCCGAAACCCAACCCTATACCTGTGTTTGATTCGTGACAAAATATGAAGGCAAACAGGGTTGGAAAAAGCCCCCGTAACTTCAATTGGATCAAATGCGAAATACGCTCTTTAAGGAACAAAGAGTCAAAAGGGTAATTAAGATTAGGGAAAAAAAGAATGAAAGCCCAAAAGCTTCATCAATATACGCAGCTTGAGAAATTGCCCAAGAAGGAGCTGCTCAGTTTAAAGTTGTAATGAAAACACCCCTCAAGGAAGAATCATTGAACAAAAACTTTGTCAAAGATCACAGTATGATGGAGCACAATTAATTAGTAAATAATTGAAGAAGAAAAAATCTCAGTTGAAATTAGACTTGGAACATGATGAAAGTTTTCCTTTTCCTTCTGCTTGCCAAACCAAGATTTAACCGACATAGATTTTGTTCACTCAACCTGTCTGTTGGTCACGGAGGTTTTTAAATCATTGTATTATAAGCACTACTTTGAAAAGCAAGGATATTTTACCCATAGATGAGGGAAAAACATGTCCCTGTTTTTAGTTTACCCTAAGGCCCCATCCACCAATACAGCCTTATCATTTCCCTTCCCAAATTACTGTGTAGATCTAGAAAATTTGTCCAAAAATGGAGTGGGGTCCATGGACCTGATCTGATGCCTTTTCCTTGCCATGCGAATTGAATTTTATCTTCAAACTGATTCCAAACAACATTTACTCCGGGAACGGATTTAATGTGCTTGCCATGGTGTGTGTAACGTTACTATCAAAAGATTCCAGTTGTGGAAAAATGAAAAGATTCATGCCCCTGTCATCATCAAGCACAAACTAGTAAAAATCATAACATTTTTGTTAATTTCTTCTTTAATGGAAATTACTAGATTGATGGTCTCCTGTATGTACAGATATGTACATACTTTGTTGTTAATGTGCTGCAATTCCTTGATATGTACAGATAAGTGAAACTTATTCTAAAGTCTAAGCCAAAAGTAGAAAAAAAAATTCCCCTTTGTGTCTCCACTGTTTTTTAAAACCAAAGACAATGAAGCTGATGAGGAGGAAAGAAAAGATAGGCTAAGAAAGAATGATTCTGATATATTGCCACCCAGCTGCTGCTGTCCATTTACTAGTTGCACAGCCCTAGCAAGAGTCTGCTCCATTCATAGAGGAGATAAGTTTGCCAACTGGATTTAACATTGTTGAGAGTATACGTAGGCGTAGCCTTGCTAGTTAAGAGCAGTCCAGGGGGAAGCATGGTTGACAAGATGCTGGGACAGGCTGCTAAAAAATGCTTTAGCATGTGGATATTGTCAGATGAAGGATAGTGCATGATTTCAATGACTGTGGTTTAAGGTAGTGGCTTGTGGCCCAATGGTCCTTAGGCCTGCCCATACAGGTTGCTCTTTACAAAATTCAATTCTCTGGATTGCATGAGGCATATGTGTGTGGCTACATAGTTGGAAAAAAAATTAATGAAATTTGAAATGTTTGGAATTAGATATAGCCAATTGGTACCTTATAATTGAATATTCTATATTATCTCACTCAATTAAGTAAGATTAAGATATCATATAATTAGGAATAAACAAAATTCGATCAAAATCGAATTTATCGATATATTTGATTAATTTGGTTTGATTTATTTGATTGATTCAGTTAAATCAGTTAAAAAGTTCAATTAAGTTGGTTAAGTCAATTCGGTTCAATTCAAATTTTTTAAAATTGATTAACTGAATTAACTAATTTTAAAATTAGTATATTTAAACGCTTTCAATACATGTATGCATTCATACAGATTATATATATATATATATATGAATAAAAGGCTAAATTTAATCATCAAGAGAGCTTTTCTTACATGTATTCACTTTCACATTTATTCTATGCTTATGTATAAATAAATGACTTATATTTAATCATCAAGCATCAAAGAATAAAAATCAAAACACACTTTATTTAGACATTAATATTATTGCAGATAAATATAATCATACAAAACATTATTTAAAATTAAATATAATGCAAAAATATAATAAAAACTATATCCTAAATTTAAGTTATTAATATATTAATATATTGATGTAACTTATTTATTAACTTATTTTCATATTTAAGTTATTGATATATTATACTCTATATAGCATATTTATTAATATACAATATATAGTCTATATGCTATAAACTATAGACTGTAGCAACTTACTTTTTATAAGTTATCAATAAACTATAGTAATATAGTATAACTTATATTAATATAGTAAGTTTAATTAAATAATTAATATTAGTATACTGTAGTAATATAACTTATATTACTAAAGTAATTTATATTAATATTTGTATTATATAGTAATATAACTTATATTAGTAATTAAATATAATAACTTATTAATATATTATATGTTGATATCTTAATGACTTAATGAGCTAATGTTATTATATTATTATATATAACAATATAATATTATACAGTATATATATCATATGACTTGTTAGTATACTTAAATACTATATACCTACATATTAACTATATATAATAATATATTAATACACTATACAGAGTATTAGTATATAATTATACCTATATATAATATATACTAGTACAACATGCATATATACTATATAATTATATATTAATTATATGTAGTAAATATTAATACATTATACACTGTTTACAGTTATACATTATATAATATATATCTTAAGAAAATATACATAGTATACTCATTAATACATTAATTAATCAATATATAATATAACAAGTATACTATATAGTATACTTATTAATATACTAATTAATTTGTTAACATATGCTAAATTAGTATATTAGTAAAATTATAAGTAATAATGTAATATGTGGGAACATAAAGTACATTATTAATATATTATTAAATAAATTAAAAAGCAGAAAAATTAAAAAATTTCTATTAAATCAATTAAAATCAATTTAACTGACTAAAGTTGATTTGGTTCGATTAATTATTTTAAGAAGGCCGATTAAGTTGGTTAATAGTATTCCTTAATTGAATTAACTGTTTTAATCGAATGCTTACCCCTATATATAGTAAGTTCAAGTAAGATTTGGATAGTAAAATTATTACGAGTTCAAGTAGTAGTATTAAAGTACCTACTATTTGAACTTATTATAAATAACGTTTTTTAAGTATTAATATAAAACTTACTAAAATTTATAAATTATTCTAAATATAATTTTAAACTTTAATTTTATTTTTTATGAACTAATTTTAAATTATTAATTTTATTTTTATTAATAATATACATAAAAATTAGTTTAAAATTATATTAATAGAATATTTAATAGGTAGTATCTAGTATATTAGGGTAAGAGTTCGGATAACAATTTGAAAATATAATCAAGTATTTATTGCAGGGTTCGAGTTAGGTATTTAAAAAATAACAGATACCCAACCTATTTAAAATTTCTTGAAAAATTTAAGTTTATGTAACATGAAATGAATTAGTTTTACTTAATTTTACTTGCTGATTAGTCAAAGCTTATATAATGCTTAAATCTTAGGTAATAAAATAGCTAGTTTATTTGATAGTTTCAGTAATGAAGTATTTGATCTAAATTCAAATATTCCAAATATATTTTACTATTTTGATAAAAAAAATTATATAAGAAGCTTTAGCTAAATGCATTTTACTATTTTAGTTAATTTGAATTTGGGCTCTGAATGGTAGAGCATTAGGCCAGCATGTGTTCTTACATTGAGCCCAAGTTCTAGCCTTAAAATATAGACAGCCCAGGCTTCTTTGTTCTAACCCAAACAAGCACCGACCCTCTTTTTTAAACCTATCTTCGCCAAACGGGCCCAGAGGAATACACGATTTGTTTTTGTCCACAAAATTGTTAAACCCTAAGGCTTTACTTGGCTCTCTCTTTCTATCTTTCTTCCCCAAAGCAAAAGATCAAAGCGTCGTCGCCATGGTCGGTTCATTTCGAATTCTCTCTCATTGCGTTTGAAAAACTTCTGTTTTCTACTTTCAATGGTTGATTTTATATCTGTTGCTAATTTTCTTATTTAATTTTTCTGTTCAGCCGCAAGGAGATTACATAGAGCTACACAGGAAGAGGCATGGCTATCGCCTTGACTTCTTCGAGAGGAAGCGCAAGAAGGAAGCCCGTCAAGTTCACGAGCGTTCCGCTAAGGCTCAAAAGGTCTTTAATTTTGTTTTACCCTTTATTTTTTTTTGGTAATTTTGCTGCTTCTTTTTTTTTTTGGTGGGATTTTTTGAGCTAATTTATTTATTTTTGTTAAATTCGTGTAATAGGCCCTTGGTATTAAGGGTAAGATGATTGCCAAGAAAAATTATGCTGAGAAGGCCCTCATGAAAAAAACGTGAGTGTTTTCTTTTTCCATTATTATTTGTTTTTATTAGTAATTATTTTACTTCAATTAAGATCTAATAAAACTTAAAAAGGGTGATGTTAAAAAATTGTTATCTTTTAATAGTGTTTTATTTGCTGACAGTTAGATTCTGCAAATTTCAAATGAAAGCACAAATGAATATATTAGTTAGCTTCATTATGATAATGCCCATAATGCTTGTATTGTCTTTCACTGAAGCAATGCCTTAATCATGCCACTTAATCATGGTAAGTTATGTGGCTGTTTCTGATTCTTATGTTGTTGAAAAACTTAGTTGGTACTGAATTGGTACATGGTGGTCAATGTGTGTCTGTGGTGATATTAGACAAATGTGTGCCAATGGTGATATTAGACAAGAGATCAAATGGTATTAAATGCTTCCCTTTTGATGTTAGTTGGGAAAATTTCTTCTAGTACTAATTCAAACATGTAAAATGAAGTAGCAAAAATACCTATCATTTAGGAGGTCTTGCTTACATGGAGGGATTTTGGAGTCAGAAGCTTCCCTTTGAGACTTGAGTTTCTTGTTTTGAGATGTTGAGCACCTTAAAGCTTTTGCTTTGGGTTTATGGCTTGTTTCGAGGAGAGGATATTGCTTCATCATTGCTGTTCTTTTCTTTGTTAATTATGTAATGACTAGGAAATGTTTTTGCGTCATGTCAATAGATTGGCTATGCATGAGGAATCATCAAATAGGCGCAAGGTTGATGACCAAGTGCAAGATGGAGCTATTCCTGCTTATCTTATGGATCGTGAAAATACAACACGTGCAAAGGTATGCTGATAGATGAGGTTGGTGCAGATTTATACTATATTTATGTCATTAATAGATATTAAATTATGCTATGTTTAGGTTCTAAGCAACACCATAAAGCAAAAGAGGAAAGAGAAAGCTGGAAAATGGGAGGTCCCTATTCCGAAGGTAATAATATGTCAAACTTTTCTGTTTGCTATAGCTTAGTATGTGCTTTCTCAACTTTTTTCTGTATCGATACTTAATTTTCTGTTAACTTCAGTTGTTTGACTTGAAACTTTTGTCCTTTAGGTCAGGCCTGTCGCAGAAGATGAGATGTTTAAGGTGCTCAGATCTGGTAAAAGAAAAAGTAAGTATATAGAATATATATATATATATATATATATAATTAGCTTATTCTTTTTCAATATGCACCATTCTAATTGAAGAACACTATCTTTTCTATCTGGAGTTTGGTTGCCCAAGTTAAGAGGATACGTGCTTTTTTTTTCTTATTTCTAGTTGTTTTTTCTCTTGCAGCGAAGCAATGGAAGAGGATGGTTACAAAGTGCACTTTTGTAGGACCTGGTTTTACAAGGAAACCTCCCAAGTATGAGCGTTTCATCCGTCCTTCAGGATTGCGATTTACTAAAGCTCATGTTACACATCCTGAACTAAAGTGCACCTTCAATCTTGACATCATTGGGGTGAAGAAAAATCCCAATGGTCCAATGTATACCTCTCTTGGTGTTATGACCAAAGGAACTATTATTGAGGTATTGTTTTTCCTTCAATAGTATTCAGCATGACTTCTGTTTGCTTGTGTTGATACTCATTTGTTTTATGTTGAATTCAGGTGAATGTCAGTGAATTGGGTCTGGTCACACCAGCTGGGAAAGTTGTTTGGGGTAACGATCCGCCTTTCATTTGATTCTGCATGAGCAAGCGGTATTCTGGTTTGGCTTTATGCTTTAATGCTTATTCCTATTTGTTGTTGGTAAATGCAGGAAAATATGCTCAAGTGACAAATAACCCAGAAAATGATGGTTGTATAAATGCGGTTTTGCTTGTGTAAGAGGTTAACTGAAGACATTGCAAATTGATCATTCAACGAAACATCAAGAGTGCTAACCAGTTTGGTTCGTGTCACATCATTGTTCTGTGGAACATTTTATGTTCCTCTTTGTGGAACATTATAAGTCTGCTAACCTCACCTTACCTTTTCTTCCTTTTTTTTTAATTTCCTTTTCAGTATCGGATGTATCTTAGATTAAGAACTAAAATTTTGTTTTTGTTATGCATAAATCTGGGTTATATAAGTTATGCCATTTCATTGAGTTTTGCTTATGACCATGTTCTTGCCATGTTGGTGATAGCATATTATGATTGTGTACAAAGTTGAAGAGTAACATGGTTATCCAATAAAAGATGCGATAATGGATTTAAGGACTCCTATTAGGTATATTAGACCATGGCCAGAGCGTTGCACACGGGTCTCTTTCTACCGGTTTTTTTCTCTCTTTTTCTTTCTTCAATGCTTTTTCTCTATGACCTCGTGGCTACAGGAGTTCTTTTACTTGTGTAATAAATATATAGACTTGAAGCCAGAAGTTCTCAAAGAGAATGTTGAGAGAACAGTCAGTGTGGTTTCACACACAAATGGTTGCCGCTCCTATCAAAGACATGAGTAAACAAGTTTTTGGAGCATATAGTTCTTGGATAATAAATGGCAGATCTGCATATCCGCAAAACAACATTAGTTACAAATACATTTTACAACAAATTTGAAGGACCTGGACGTATAATTGACCAGATTAGGGAGAAACAACACCACAATGAAACTCTTAGTAACCAGTACGAGATACTATTGGGCAGGGGCTGCCGAAACTTGGGGTTCAATCACCTGAAGCAAGCCTGTTGCCAGTCTTCTCGTCAGATCCTCAACTGAAACCTTCACTGCATCCCTCCTCATGCCAATATCAGCAGCATATCGACTTGCACAATAAACCCCAACTGCTGTAGCTGCCATCCCATAAATGTTTGTAGTAACAAGACGTAGTGGAGTTGACAACACAGCTGCAAGAGGCCCACCTATAATCGATATTGCTTGACCACTTTGCCCGATGGTTGCTTGATCTAGAACAAGCAGCCCAGTCTTGCAGTAGATCGCAAAGTCCTCACAGTTGTTCTTGAAAACATTATAGCAGCCAAATCCATTTTCGAGCAAATATTTTGCCCGATGGACCACTAAATCATTTGG